TGTTTGTGAGTAATTATATTACCAGGATGGGACGGAGCAGTTCTTCTAATCTTTTGGACCTTCTGTGCCTTCTAAAAGGTCCCTGGGTGAGGCAAACAGTCTATGCTTGACTATTAACTGAAAGATTAGTAGAGAAATAAAGCCTGGTGATCTACTACTTCTGTAAAGATTACAGCCATGAAAACCTCTATGGAGTTCAGTCAGTTCTACTCTGTGACACATGGAGCTGCCATGAGTTAAAATCAACTCAATGGCACTTGTTGGTGTTTTGAGCCTTCTAAATAGCCAGCCACTTCCTTTCTTCTCCAAGGTCTCAGTTTTATACAACTGCATTTCTCAGACTTTCCTCCAATCTCCTTATGTGACAATTTCCCATACTCTAAAATTCAGTACCAGCCCCTTTTTTTTGCATACGTAAATTGTCCCTTTCTGCCACTGAGCACAACAAACATATGGGTTCCAACAGCTTTTCTTCTGTGCTATTATCATATCAGCCAAGTCCAGTCAGTTTTATGACATCAGAATAATTTCCACAGAAACAGACTGAGTCATAACACAGGCTCATTCTGATGACAACCGCTATTAGCCAGCTATAGCAAGCAAAAAAACAAACAGAAAACAAGCCCATGGTGCTGTAGGATAAGCAATGGACTGGTAACCCACCAGCCGCTCTTGGAAACCCTATAAGTGGTCGCTATGAGTCAGAACCAACTCAACAGCACGTTTACGATAATAACAATGTATAGGGATTTATAAAAAAACATTAGGATGGTTACATGATTTGATATAGTTATTAAAAAATTTTTCTGATTAAAGCCAGATTACATTTGAAGCTATACTGATCATGTAAATGTAGCCCTTCTAAAATCAGAAAAGAGGTCTTGCCAGGGAGACACCAGTAGAATGATCCAGGAAATAATGTAACAACCTCTAAAAAAGTTATGTAACCAGGTCAAAAAATATATATGAAACAATATATACCCTCAGAGACAGACAATCAAGCCCCCCCCCCCCCCAAACAATCCAAAATGTAATCCTCTGCTCCACAGGGGCTCCAAACAAGTTCATTAAGAAGCAATAATAAAGTCAGGCAATGTTGCCTGGGATCTAGTCATCTCTGAAGGACTCTCAGAGCAGCTGCTGTCCACAGAGGGATAAGATTTATGAGTAGTCACAAAAGAAAGAAATTAAAATAATCAATATGAAGTGAATATGGCATAGAACCACCCTATTCTAGGAGCTTAGTTTCTAAAAGATAAGAAATATAGATGGATTATGCAAATAACATAACAGATCTTAGCACTGGAGGTGGACAGCCAGAGTGGCCCAGTCAAACCCCCAGCAGGTGATCCACATGGCCTGTCTAGTCAGATTCCCTTCCCCTCCACAGGGAGGGCCACAGCAACCCAAGCATGGCATTTTTCAGTGAAAAATACACACAGAGGACTTTATTATTCCCACAGGCCAAAGTAAAAGTTATTAGGAAGATTTTGGAGCCTAAGGATTTGACCCCATGCAGTCAGCCTGCTTGGTAAACTTTTCTTTTTACCTGGGGAGAAACTACAGCCAGAGGAGAGACTTGACCAAGGCTGCAGGACTGAAAAGTGGAAGGATCGGAATCCTGGGCTCTTGCTCTACCACCTTGCCTTCTATTTTTGTCTAAGTGTGTGTATGCATTAGCTGCAAAGCTAGAAGCAAAAGTGGATACATTAGAGTTAGCTAATCCACCTTTTTTGGTGCCACGATGCTTTTTATAGCATTTTTCACACAAGTCAAGAATTACAGTGGCTAGCAACACAGGACAGGGCTGATGGAGTTGGTAGAGGGCCATTTTTAAATTCCAATAGACAGAAGCCAGCAATCATGGGGCAAAGAAAGTGCCTCACTGAACCAAGCAATTTCTACTTCAAACAAATGAAGAATATTAGCCTCAGCCTCACCTTGGTATAATAATATTCTTTGCATCTATACAGTAGGCTTAACTTTCTTTAATAAATTGACATCTTCTTCAATGTCTTAACAAGTTGTCATGGGAGTTTGGACAGATGTCCTCATTTTACACATGAGGAAATGAAGACAGAGGTGAAACTGCTTTCTCTGGGTCCCATCTTATGAGTGGCATTATTTCTAACTTAGACCTTTTTGCCTTTTGTTGGTATACACACCCTATTGAGAAATACCTACTTAGTGATTTCCCATTGATGAAAATGGAGAGAAACAGCCATCTGTGTTTCAAGTGGTGATACCAACAAATGCCACATAGTCAGCTAATTCTCAACTAGCTGTGGTACTTTGTAGGGTTTTGGGTGACAGGCCAGTATTGATTCCTATGGCCATCAAAAGTGCGCTTTGCCCCGTGGTTTTCTTAAAAATCACCCCTTTCTTTTTAGGATGAGAATTTTCCAAGCCTTTCTGTTCATCTTGAAAAACAAAACAAAACTCGGAAATGGATTAAAAGACCCAGCTCAAAACATCTCCTCAGAATGCTGCATTGCCAACATCTGGTTAGCACTCAATATTTCTGGTTTAAAAATGTTTTATTTATTTGGAAGCAGTTTATGGAAGTAGCAAAGTATTGGAAATTTTAAAATAACTTGCATGCTTGTATGAAACGATCACAGCTGTGCTCCCTCCTTTCATAGCAACATGGCCTGGAGACACATTTCCATAGAATTCCAATAAGCAATTGCTGCACACACCCAGATGGCCAATTTTATCACAGGACACAGAGGCTCAGGACTACAGTGAGACTCTCTTTCCTTTTCATTGCTCTGAATGCAGCCAAACTCCAGCCAGAACAGCAAAAATCCCAATGTAACAGCCTGTCCCTGCCAGGCTCCTGTCCCTGCCCCCACTCCATCTGCCAGTGCTGACCTTTCAAACCAGACCTCCTCCCAATGCCAGGCCCTGTGCACTGGCCTGGGGGAGGAAAGGGGATTCTAGAAAAGAATCCACTAACGGCGCTACGGGCTAATGCGCTAGACTGTAAGGTCAGTTTGAACTGCAAGGTTGGAAGTTCAAGCTCAGCAACCACTCCTCGGAAACCCTACACAGGGTTGCTATGAGTCCGAATCGACTCAATGGCACTTAACAACGACAGCATAGACAGAGCGCCTCAAGGATTGTCAATTCTTCCAATGATCTCAAACTTCCTGACTTGTTCACCCGATGTTTCAATCCTCAACCTTCATTTGACCAAAGGTAACTCGGCCCTCCCTAAAGTCATCATCTATTGAAGGGAGGGTGAGTGGGAAGGAAAGGAAGAGTTGGAATAACAAATATGCTCTAAAAGGTAGGATTCCAATCGATGGGGGAGTTCTAAATATGTAGTCCTCTAGATGCCATCCACTGTTGTTATTTGCCGTGAAGTTGCCTCTGACACCTGATTTCCCCATGTGTGCAGAGCAGAACTACTCCAGAGGGTTTTCAAGGCTTGACCTTTCGGGAGCCGACTGCCAGGCCTCATTTTTGAGGTGTTCATGGGTGGATTTAACAGCCAATCTTTCAGTTAGTACTTGAGCATTTGTGCCACCTCAGGGACACCCTTAAATGTCATGTTGTTGTTGTTAAGTGTCACTGAGTCGGTTCTGACTCATAGTGACCCTGTATAGGGTTTCCAGGGAGCAGCTGGTGAGCTTGACTCGGCAACCTAGCGGTTCAAACTGACCTTGTAGTCCAGTGCATTAACCCACAGGGCCACATCAGTACTCCTTAAATGTCACAGGAGTCTTTTAAAACTATTTTCTAGAATTATTAGAAGTTCAGTTTGCATGGTTTCCAATTACAAGCCAGAATTTTTTCTTTAGGGATTTAAAAGAAAAAGACTGAGGTTCCCTATTATTTTGCAGGCTTCACTGTCCCTCTCAACAATGCTGTTGAGTTGGCCCTGATTACAGGAGCCTTTGAGAAGAGTCTGACAGGAGGGTGGGGTAGGATGTAAGGGGGACCTCCCAGCTTATCAGGATGGTGACAGGCTGCCAGCCAGGCTGTCCGGGTCACAGTGATAGAGCCCGGCTGTGAAGTCTTCTATTAAACACAGCTGAACAACACTGGGCCATGTTCAATTAGCCATTCAGTCCAAGTGGCATCTCAAATCAACCCGCTATCCTATCTGCAAAGGTCTGGGGCACACACAGAATAGTCTCTCAAGCAAATTGAAGGAGAAAGGTATTTCACACATGACAGAAAAGTAACTCTCAGACCCCAGAGTTTCATGGGTTAAGCAATTTAACTCCATCACAGACTTGGGTGAGTTGCAAAGGCCACCTTATGGTGGTTGAAACAGACTGAGACTGGTGTCATGGCAATATTGTCCTGAGGTGACAAAAGTAGAGGACCCCCTCCCTAATGCTAAACCCTCTGAATCTTCTAGCTCTCCATATGCTAACTGGTATGCAAGGAATTCTGGGGCCTCCCTGCTTTGTTATGTGTTGTTGTTGTTGTTGTTAAGTGCCTTTGAGTCGGTTCCGACCCATAGCGACCCTGTACAGGGTTTCCGAGGGTGTAAATCCTTACGGGAGTCGAAAGCCTCATCTTTCTTCCGCGGAGCAGCTGGTAGTTTCGAACTGCTGACCTTATGGTTCACAGCCCGATTTGCAACCACTACGCTACCAGAGCTCCTTGTTATGTGGCTGTCCTTAAAACTGAATACCACTTGCATGAGGGAACAAGGTCTTGAAGAACTAGTTTAGTTTCTGCCTTGGTGGTTTCTGTGGCTTTTGGAAAAACTATGGGATTAGTTTTGTTTTCTTTTCCTGTGGTTCCAACACTGTTCTCTAGGCCAGCAGCAACAGGAGTAGCAGCAGCAGCTTTGCTGACAGCCACAAGGGAGTTGCTTTCTTGAAAGGATACTACTCTGAGACAAAATAAGCAAAATTTTGTTCAGTCCAGTTCTGCATGTTATTACTTCCAAAAGCTACCAACTTCCGATTATTTTAGACTTGCCATCCTGGAATGATGCTTTTCAAGACACCCTCATTAAGAGCTGGCCCCGGGTGTACCTTGGGATTGGTTCGTTGTTGCAGTCTCCTTTCTTCCCTTTCTCTTTGCAGGCGTTCAAACTCTTCTCTAATTTCAGCTGGTGTTCGCCTCCTTTCCACAACCTATGGGCAGAATCAGGAAAAGACAGTTACGCATTCACAAGGAAAAAACACATTCAAAGCACTAACTAAGAGATGCTAATGGAACAGTGATGAGCCATTCTATGACACAGTCCAGGGAACACAGGGACCAGCCTCATTAGTGCAATATAATAAGCCAGTATCAATTAGCTTCACATGCACGCGAAAGCTGGACAATGAATAAAGGAAGACCATAAAATAATTGATGCTTTTGAGTTATGGTGCTGGAGGAGAATATTGAAAGTGCCATGGGCTGCAAAAAGAACCAATAGAACCAGTTTGGAAGAAGTGTAGCCAGAGTGCTCCTTGGAGGCCAAGATGGTCAAACTTTGTCTCTCATACTTCAGATATATTGTCAGGAGGGACCAGTCACTGAAGAAGTACATCATGCTTGGTAAGAGGGAGGGTCAGAGAAACAGAGGAAAACCCCCAACGAGATGGATGGGTCAAGTGGTAGCATCGATGGACTCAAGTGTGGCAGCAATAGTGAGGTTGGCCCAGGATCAGGCTGTATTTAGTTCTGCTGTGCATAAGGTCGCTATGAGTCGGTACCAACTGAATGGCACCTAACAACAACAACAATCAATTAGCAATGACTACAAAGAGGGAGGCAGCTATCAAGGAAGTTCAAAAATAAAAGATGGGTAAGATCATATAAGAAAAATGGAAAGTCCTAACTGGTATGATAGTGATTGTTTCGTGGCCTCACAAAAATCCCTCACTTGGCAGGCTCATTCTTAAAATTTTCACTTCTTAAAAATATCCAGGCCATGTGCAACCACTTATGACACTTTCATTTTCTCAAAGTTACCCTACAGCTTGGACTGAGCAAAAGCAAGATACAGTTTCTTAGAGTTTCCATTATCTTCTCAATCTCCTGTTAGCATCTTCCTTCATCAAAAGTAAACAAAAATAAAAGGGCTTCAGGGAAATGTACGGAGCTCTGGTACCGTAGTGGTTATGAGTCAGGTTTCCTCAGGGGACACATGAGGCTTTCTTCTCCCGTAAAGATTTACAGCCTCGGAAACCCTATGCAGGATTGCTATAAATTGGAACTGACTCCACCTCCACCACTACCACCACCACCAGGGAAAATGTAAGCTTGATTTTAAATACTTTTAAAAATCCTTAGTGACTTTAAAACTCCAACTTCTTGAACCTGTGACTGTGCTGCTGTGAATGACCTGGACCTCAGCAAGTAGTAGCCTAAGTGACCTGCTACCGAGGATAAGAAACCTGGACAGAGAGCTCTTCCTAACCTGAATTAGGGTTTCATAACTGAACACAGTACTCAACAAGATAAGATGCTATCTTTTAAAATGTAGATTAAACATGTTTGATTAGCCATAATTTTAAGCTATGACATACACAGATCCATGAATTTATCCTGATAAGAATTCCCCTGTCCACAAACAGATTTATACAATTCCAGGAACTAAAATTTTAGACTGGAACCTTGCAAGAAATCCAAAAACTAGGAAGCATCAGGCTCCACAGAGCCCAGAGAAAGGCAAGATTTAGGTTTCAGACTTCAAGCTGTTTAAGCTTTATGGTGTGATTAGTAGCTGTAAACGACTTTCTTGCTGAAGAGGCAGATATTCCAAAGGTTGCTAGGTCATCCCATTTCTAGTCTTATTTTACACAACTTTTGCAAATAGCTGGCACATAGCCAGAACCAACTGCAGAAAAGTCCAAGAGGCTGCCCCCTCTACAGCAGTGATGACACGTAGCTGGACAGGCCTCCTATAGCCAGTCATAACTTGCTTTATTCCATCTCAACAACCTCCAGGCATAAATATCCAGGGATACTGTATCCTAAATGACACTGCTGGTAAATACTAGATATTTGCAATCGTTGTTCACGAACAGAATGTATCACAGGTACCTGTATTGTTCACCTTGACCCACTAGATCAAGCCCTATGCCATCCAGGAAGACTTATTTTGCAGAAAGAGGTGGGGATAAGGAGATGTCTAAAAGCGAGGTACACAGTGGAAAAAGGATGGAAACCTGGGTTTTCTAGTGTCACTATCACCTCTAGCCTGCTGGGGCACCTAAGGCAAATCACTTTGCCTCTCTAAACTCTAGTTTTTCTGCTCCAAAATGAGGGGTGTTAAATTAGATGATTTCTCAAGTACTGTCTGGCTCTAAAATTCTATGATTCTAGCACGTTAACTTATTTTGGAATAATTTTAGAAAAGTTATATAAAAATAGTATAGAGTATTCTTATATATCCTTTATCCAGCTTCCTCAAATGTTACCATCTTACACAACCACGAATATCTGTCAAATCTTAGAACCCGACATTACTATTAACTAAGCTCAGATTTTTTGGATTTCACAGGTTTTCCCACTAACATTTCTTGTTTGTTCTAAGTTCCAATTGAAGATACCATATCGCATTTAGTTGTCATGTCTCCTTAGTCTCCTCTGTGACAATTTCAGTCTGTCCTTATTTTTGATTTCTTGATGCTAATATATTTGTAGTTGTTGTTAGGTAACATTAAGTTGGTACCGACTCTAGTGACCCAGTGTAGAACAGAATGAAAACACTGCCCCGTCCTGAGCCAACCTAAAGATCGTTGATGTACTTGATCGCATTGCTGCCACCACTGTACCATTCCATCTCATTGGGGGGTCGTCTTCTTTTTCTCCGAACCTCCACATTACCAAACATCATATCCTTCTCCAGTGACTGGTCCTTCCTGACAAAATGCCTGAAGTATGAGAGATGAAGTCTAGCCATCCTAGCTTCCAAGGAGCATTCTGGCTGTACTTCTTCTGACACGGATCTGTTTGTCCTTTTGCCAGTCCATGGTACTTTCAATATTCTTCTCCAACAGCATAACTGAAATGCAACAGTTCTTCTACCGTCTTCCTTATTCACTGTCCAACTTTCAGATGCATATGAAGTTAGTTAAAATATCACGGCTTGGATTAGGTGTACCTTAGTCCTCAAACTGATATCTTTGCTTTTCAACACTTTAAAAAGGTCTTGTGCAGCAGATTTGCCTAACACAATATGTCATTTGATTTCTTGCCTGCTGCTTCCATTAGTGTTGATGGTTGATCTGAGCAAAATGAAATCTTTGATAACTTCAATCTTTTCTCCATTTAAATGGATGTTGTTTATTGGTCCAGTGGTGAGGACTTCTGTTTTCTTTATATTGAGGTGCAAGCCACACTGAAGACTATGGTCTTTGATCTTCATCAGTAAGTATTTTAAGTCCCCTTAGTTTTCAGCAAGCAAGGTTGTATCATCTGCAAATTGTAGGCTGTCAATGAGTCTCCCTCCAATCGTGATGACAAGTTTTTCTTCATATAATCCAGTTTCTCAGATTATGTGTTCAATATACAGATTGGCAAACATCGTTCCTAGTTTCAAACTATTCGGTGTTTCCTTGTTCTGTTCGAACAACTGCCTCTTGGCCTGTGTAAAGGTTCCTCATGAGCACTATTAGTGGTACAGAATACTCATTCTCTACAATGTTGTCCATAGCTTGTCATTATCCACTTAATCTAAAGCCTTTGCGTAGTCTATAAAGCACAGGTAAACATCTTTCTGGTATTCTCTGCTTTCAGCCAAGATCCTTCTGATGTCAGCAATGATATCCCTTGTTCCATGTCCTCTTCTGAATCCAGCATGAACCTCTGGAAGTTCTCTGTCAATGTACAGTTGAAGCTGTTTTTGAATTATCTTTAGTAAAATTTTACTTGCATGTGATATTAATGATATTGCCTGATGCTTCTCGCATTCCACTGGGTCACCTCTCTCTGGAATGGGGACAAATACAGATCTCTTCCAGTCAGTTGACCAGGGAGCTGTCTTCCAAATTTCTTGACATAGATGAGTGTTTGTTTCCAGTGCCGCAGCAGGTTGTTGAAATATCTCAATTTGTATTCCATCAATTCCCTTGTTCTTTGCCAATGTCTTCAATGCAGTCAACTTTTAATGGAAGTTATTTTTGTTAGGTCTCAAAGAAAAAGCAGCAATTGAAAACTCTATGGCAGAGTTCTACTTTGACAGGTGTGGAGGTCACCGTGAGTTGGAATTGACAGACATCTATCTCATTTACTTTTTAAAAGCTTTTCCTGTATATTAATAAACTGATGCTGAAGAGATTGGGAAGGTGAGATGGGTGATGTAAAGAACTCTAGACCAAATCTACACTCCAGATGACATGGACCACAGGGGGCTCCTCTAATGTAGTCTAGAATCTGGAAGTGATTGACAGGGGATCTAGACTATCTGGTTTCCATTCCACTTGCCAGCAGTTACCTAATTCACAGCTAAAGGTTGGATTTTAGTTATTCTGATTAAGATACCAGTTTCATTTTCAAAGTCAGCATCTCCACAAACATGGTGACCAACTGTGAGAACAAAAATGGTTGTTTTACAAGATGGGAACTATTATATTTCATTCCTTTGGAATCCTGTCAGAGAACAACAAAGTCTCTGGAAGGTCACAAAAATGTATCATATGATTGAAAACAGTGCCAATAATTTATACAATATAAAAAAACTCAAATTTCCTCTCTAGCCTCTACCAATAAAACGGGAGCTAAAGCTACTGCTGGGGCAGGGAGTGACAATCTTGTGATATGCTTTCAGATCTTTAGATTCACAGCACCTCAGACACTTGGGGCATTAACAGGCATCACTTGGGGGGTATAGATGGCACTGGGGGACACTGTCCCAAGGGGTGACACCAAAATGATGGTCTATAAAATTGTTCTGCAGTATTTCAGGAGAAATGTATTATTTTAAATAAAAATATTCCTGAAGTTAGTTATAACAAAAACATTTTCTGTAAACCCAGCTTACATATATTAATGAATAACAAGGCTAAAACTTGATGCTAATTTACTTTTTGAACTTTATAATGCACTAAGGACATCAGATTTTGTTGCTCCTGGAAACCCTGTACAGGGTCGGTATGAGTCGGAACCGACTCCTTGGCATATAACAACAACAACAGCT